TACAAAAATATTAGAAACTTTCACAGGAATTTAATTATTTGCTAATATTTTTATAAAATTGTTCCTAATATAACCTAATACCTAAATATAATTTGAATTAAATTTTTTTGAAATAATTCAATTATTCTTTTATATATTATAATAAAATTCTTCCCAAGGAATTCAATTATTTACATAAATAATTCTTCGAAAGAATTTAATTATTAAAGATAGATAACAAAATTATTTCCGAAAATTCAATTATCTTGAGGCATTTTAATAAAATTCTTTGCAAAATTCAATTATTTTCATAAATAACAATATTCATCACAATAATTCAATTATTTTTAAAAGTAGTAAATTTCTTCTTGGAAATTTAATTATTTTTAAAAATTCTAATAAAATCATTCGTAAGAATTCAATTATTTTCATAAATAATAAAATGCTTTTTAGGAATTCAATTATTTTCAAAAAAATTTAATAAAATACCACACAGACATTCAATTATTGTTAAAAATTTTAATAGAATTCTTTGTAAAATTTAATTATTTTTAAAAAATTTTTTGTAAAAATCTTCGTAAGAATTCAATTTAATTCAATTATTTTCATGAGTAATAAAAATGAATTGAATTTCTCAGGAATTCAATTATTTAAATTAGAATTTGCATAAAATTAGTCGAAAGAAATCAATTATTTAAAATTTTTTATAAAATTGTTCGGAAAAATTAAATTATTTTTATAAATATTTAAATTCTTTGATGAATAATAAAAATCGTTGAAGGAATTGAAATTATTAGCAGAATAAGAAAGAAGTAAATATTTTTGATGAAAATTAGGGAAAAATTGACCAAAAATTTAAATTTTCCATTTAAATAACATGGGGCTTTTGACACTAAATGATTAATTTTTTTATTGCGATCTCAATATATGATAAAAAAATTTGAAATTCGTCACAGTTCAATCTTATAATACTATATTTGTCTCCCTGATTTTTTTTAGATTTTTATCTATTGTTTAAAATTTGATTATTATTTGACTAAAAATTTGTCAAAAAATTTAAGGAAGAATTTTTCTTTCTCTCATTGTTTTCAAGTTTCTGTCCACAGTTTAAAAAAAGGAAAATTTTCTTTATAAAAGCGAAAAGTTTTATCGAGGGGAAGAATTTTACTTTTACCATTTTTATTACCATTTTCCTTTTTAAAGTTTTTGCCCAAAGTTCAATTAAATATTATTTCCATGATTCAGTATAGAATTAGTTCATTTTTAGCCAAATGAAAATGAAATTTTTTTTTGTCTTTGTCCTTTTCATGATATGCCAATTTACCAATCACAGTTCAAGAAGTAAAATAACCTTGAAATTTAGGTAAAAAGTGACAAAAGTGAGGGTTTTAATTAGGTAAAAAAAAAAAAAAAAAAATTATTTAAATAAATAAAAAAAAATTAATTATTAATTATTATTATTATTATTATTATTAATTATTTTTTATTATTATTAATTATTAATTAATTATTTAAAAATATTTATTTTTTAAAAATTTTTATTTTTTTTAGGTGAAGGTATGAATTTTATCAATTTTATGTTTAGGTAAGAATTATAAATAAAGATACTAAGGTGACCTTTAAAAATTGATTACAGGTTAGAATGCGAACATAATCTCAAAATTGCAAATTTGCACATTCAAAATTAATCAGTGTGAAGTTACATTAAATTTCTATAAATAGGAAAATTAATTATAACAGAAACGTTATTGAATTATTCTTATCCAATAAAAGCTTCAATATAAAATTTTAATTTTTAATAAAATTAAATCTGATAACAATATATTTAACTATATTAAAATCGAATTTCAATTTTCTGCAATTAATACTTAAACATTTAATTTAATAGATAGTTTCATTGATATGCACGAAAAATGAGAGAACAGATTGATTATTAAATAGAGATTAACTGAAATTTGTTATTCTTATTTAAAGTGGCCGGAAAATATATACATAAAAATTTAATTTAAATTATCCCGTACATTTTCTACATTTAGAATTTCAGGTAAGAAACTAATTCATTCGACACGAAACGAATGCATAATTACATAAACTCATTTGCTTTACAGACTTTTCTTTTATAGGAATAAAAAAAAAATGAAAAAATGAAAAATTAACCCCTAACATTATTTGTCTCTAATGGCTCATTTGCAATGGAGATTTAATTTTTTTTTCACTTTTCTTGAAAATATAATGACAATTATTAATGTACTTTTCTCAGGTGTTGCTAAAAAACTTATATCTACTTGTGTCTAATTTACGATATAATTTTCTAGCCACATTCTTTTTTTTTGTACTAGATTGCGTGTATAATGGATAATATGCAAATTTAGACAAAGGTGACTTTATCTAAAATATATTTTCCACTTACACCCAACGATATTAAGATTTCCTATCTCATTGTTAAAATCCTCTCGTGCATATGTATATGGTTTTCCTTCAACGAATAACGATTTGTTCAATTTCGAAATGCAATTCATTTTACTCTTTTTTAAAATGAGAGAGAAAACACTTTTCATTCAATTTGATATAAATTTTTTTCATTGGATATTAAAATTTAATTTTACGTTTCTAACAGTTAATGTAAAAAAAATTTTTTTAAAGAGGGAAGAAGTTAGCAAAAAAATTAAATAACAATTTTTAGGTTTTGTTTGTTTATGGATCAATTTTTCATGTTATTTTTGCTCCTGAACGTAAAAGTTTTCAAATTAAAATTATGCCAAACGTACAGATTGCAAATCAAAGTGAATCTAAAATCGAAAATCAATTATTTTTAATATCTAGTATTTTTATAAAATTTCACAAAGCAATTCAATTATTTTTAAAAAAATGATAAAATTCATCCAAAATTCAATTATTTTCATAAATTTTAAAATTTCTACAGGAATTCAATTAATTTAGAATAGCATTTTCAAAAAAAAAAATATCGAAAAAATCAATTATTTTACAAAATTTTTATACAATTCTTCACAATAATTCAATACTTTCACTAATAATAACACTTTTCATGGAAATTCCATTTTTAAAAAAAACTTTGATAAAATTCAATTGAATTCTTGCTTAGAATTTTATTTATTTTCATAAATAATAAAACTCATCGAAAAATTCAATTATTTTCACAAATAAAGTTTTCCACAAGAATTCAATTATTTAAAATAAAGTTTTCATAATATTTATTATATTTCGAAAAAATTAATTATTTTAAACAATGTTTATTAAATTCTTATAAAAAATTTAATTATTTTCAAAAATAACAAAATTTTTCACAGAAATTCAAATAAATAAATTAAAACGAAAAATTAAAAAAAAAAAATTAAATTAAATTAAATTATTATTAATTAATAATAATAAATATTTTTCTTTAAACATTTAAATAAAATTTTTTCGCAATAATTCAATTATTTTGATAAATAATAAAATTCTTCTCGGGAATTCAGTTATTTTTGAATATTTTGATAAAATTCATAGCAACTATTTAATTATTTTCATAAATAATCAAATTCATCGCAGGATTTCAATTATTTTCAATAAAATTTTACAAGAATTGCTCAAAAAATGTTTTAAAAGAATTCTTAAAAATTTAATTTGAATTCTTCGAAAATATCAATTATTGAAAAAATTTTTTTTTATAAATTCTTTAGAAAAATTCAATTATTTACAACAATATTAGAATTTTTCACAGGAATTCAATTATTTTAAAATATTTTAATAAAATTTTTTGCTATAATTCAATTATTTTCATAAGTAATAAAATTCTTCTCAGGAATTCAATTATTTTTGAAAATTTTAATAAAATTCTTAGCAACTATTCAATTATTTTCATAAATAATAAAATCCATATCAGGTTTTCAATTATTTCTAATATAATTTTACAGGAATTGCTCACAATATTTTTTAAAAAAATTCTTAAACATTTAATTTCAGTTCCTGAAAAAAATTAATTATTTAAAAAAATGTTTTTAAAATTCTTTGGAAAAATTGAATTATTTACATAAATAATTCTTTGAAAGAATTCAATTATGTCGATAAATAACAGAATTATTCCTGAAAATTCAATTATTTTGAGGCATTTTAATAAAATTCATTGCAAAATTCAATTATTTTCATTTAAATAACATTATTCATCACAAGAATTCAATTATTTTTTAAAGTAATAAATTTCTTCTTGGAAATTCAATTATTTTAAAAATTTTAATAAAATCGTTTACAAGAATTCAATTATTTTAAAAAATTCTAATAAAATCGTTTGAAAAAATTCAATTATTGTCAAAATTTTTAATTGAATTCTTTGTAAAATATAATTATCTTTAAAAAATTTTCTAAATTCAATGATTTTCAATATCTACTATTTTTATAAAATTTCCAAACAGAATTAAATTATTTAAAAATTTGTTGTAAAAATCTTCGTAAGAATTCAATAATTTAATTAAATTATTTTCATGAATAATAAAAATTCCTCAGAAATTGAATTATTTAAATTCGAATTTGCATAAAATTAGTCGAAACCAATCAATTATTTAAATTTGTTTATAAAATTCTTCTCAAGAATTAAACAGTTTTTATAAATGTTTAAATTCTTTTATGAATACTAAAATTCGTTACAGGAATTGAATTTATTAGCAGGATGAGAAAGAAGTAAATATTTCTGATGAAAATTAGGAAAAAGTCAGGAAAATAAAATATAGAATGGAATTTTTGTCAGGTTTGTGAAGTATCTAAAACTATTTTATTTGGTCGTCAAATTAAGAAAATGCATATTAAAATTTTTAATTCAGTGAAAATGTAAATAACGTTTTTAATTTCGTTGAATAAATAAAAAAATGTGAAAAATAATAAAACCTATATAATACTATAATATAGTTTCAATAATTTAATTTAAAAACTCTCGATTGAATGAAAAAAAGTTTAAAATTATAAAAAAATATTCGATATATCGAATACAAATATATACAATGTGGAATTTTTTCTCCTTTTTTTTGCAGGTCTACGGAAAGTATATCCATATTATTTTACTTTCACAACATTCACGAAGGGTCGATGGGTCGGCGAAAAAATTCTTGAGGTTTTTGCGAGGGAATTCAGAGCACATCCGGCTGAAGAATATGAGAGATGCATTCGAGCTGGTACCTTGACTGTCAACTATCAAAAGGTCGATGTCGACTACAGATTAAGACACAATGACCTTTTAGCGAACGTAGTGCATAGGTGAGTCGAATTCTTTTCTCTTCTATTTTTTCTCCTCCTACGATTGTAAATTATTTAAGAGAGAGACTTTCAGTTCTATATTTATATACAGAGAGTGTATTATATATTTTTTATTTTATATATAGCGATGAGATTTAGGAAAATTCTACATTAGAATTTCTTTCTTAAGCTTTTTTTATATTTACAACAAACGAGGATAGTTTCTATAAAGATAAGTTATTCGTAGCTACTAATAAATCATTAGATAATAATTATTTGTAGATAGTTCTTCCATCTATTGTCAAAAATTTGTTCTTTTTTTAAATTATATTTATGTTCTTGTTATTTTTAACAAGAAATGATTTTCTTCTTCAACAATTTTTGGCATTTTTTAAAATTCATTTCATTTTTGAAAATTCTTTTCTTCATTTTACCTAGAGAAATACTGTTCAATAGTTTCTTAATAGCTTCCAACACCGCGTTTGCTCAAAAACTGCAATAAATAAACAACAATTGTCTAATATAATGCAGTACAAAAAAATTCAATTTAATTATTTTTTAAGAAAAATTTTTTAAATCTGAAATCAAGAAAACATCAGATTTTAGGAGTCGTTACTTAAAACAGGCTTCGCACTCATCCACAAAACCTACTTTTTACTACTTTTTTCACGTTATGCTATACTATTTGAGTACTTTTTTAGATTTTAGCCACTAAAGATTATTATTTCTGTTTTTTTTTTGAGAATTTCTACTACTTTAAATTCGCTAATACTAGAAATAAAAAAACTATTCTTAAAAATTACAATAAAATTCTTTAAAACGATTCAATTATTTTTAAAAAATATTTGAAATTCAATTATTTTCAATATCTAGTATGTATTTTCCTAAAATTTAGCAAAAGAATTCAATTATTTAAAAAAAAAAGATAAAATTCATCCAAAATTCAATTATTTTCATAAATAATAAAATTTTCACAGGAATTCAATATTAATTTCGAAAAAAATCAATTATTTAACAAAATTTGTATACTTATTCTTCACAATAATTCAATTATGTACTTTCACTAATAACAACATTTTTCATGGAAATTCAATTTTTAAAAAAAATTTTTGATAACATTCTAAGCGAGAATTCCATTATTTTTATAAACAATAAAACTCATCGAAGAATTTCAATTATTTTTAATACAATTAAAAAGTAAATTAATCAGAAAATTCAATTATTTTCACAAATAAAGTTTTTCACAAGAATTCAATTATTTAAAATAAAATTTTCATAATTTTTATTATATTTCGAAAAATTAATTATTAAAAACAATGTTTATAAAATTTTTATGATGAATTCAATTATTTTCAAAAATAACAAATTTTTTCATAGAAATTCAATTTTTTTCTAAACATTTTTATAAAATTTTTCGCAATAATTCAATTATTTTATTAAAATAATAAAATTCTTCTCAAGAATTCAATTATTTTCATAAATAATAAAATTCGTCATAGAAATTCAATTATTTTTAATATACTTTTACAGGAATTGCTCAAATTTCTGTAGAATTTCTATAGAATTTAAAAAAAACTTTTTTCTAAATAATTGATTTTTTTCTATAGAAATAGAATCAATTATTTAGAAAAATGTTTTTTTTTAAATTCTTTGGAAGAATTTAATTTATTTACAAAAATATTAGAATTTTTCACAGAAATTCAATTATTTGCAAATATTTTAATAAAATTGTTGGAAAGAAATCAATTACTTTAAAAATAATTTTAATTGAATTTTTTTGAAATAATTCAATTATTCTTTTAGATTTTAATAAAATTCTTCCCAAGGAATTCAATAATTATTTATGTACATAAATAATTCTTCGAAAGAATTCAATTATGTCGATAAATAACAAAATCAATAATTTTCGGGAATACCGAAAATCCAATTATTTTGAGGCATTTTAATAAAATTCTTTACAAAATGCAATTATTTTCACAAATAACAATATTCATTACAAGAATTCAATTATTTAAAAAAATAACAATTTTTTCACAGAAATTCAATTCTTTTGATACATTTTAATAAAATTTTTGGCAATAATTCAATTATTTTCAAAATAATAAAATTCTTCTCAACAATTCAATTATTTTTGAAAATTTTAATCAAATTCTTGGCAACTATTCAATTATTTTCATAAATAATAACATTCATCATAGAATTTGAATTATTTTCAATATATTTTTACAGAAATTGTTCAAATTTCTATAGAATTTCCATAGAATTTAAAAAAAACTTTTTTCTAAATAATTAATTTTTTCTGTAGAAAAAATCAATTTTTTAGAAAAATATTTTTTTAAAGTTCTTTGGAAGAATTGAATTATTTACAAAAAACGTTAGAATTTTTCAAAGGAATTCAATTATTTTCAAATATTTTAATAATAGGTATTGTTCGAAAAAATTAAATTATTTTAAATACAAGTTTAATTAAATTTTTTTGAAAGAATATAATTATTCTTTTAGATTATAATAAAATTCTTCCCAACAATTCAATTATTTACATAAATTATTCTTCGAAAGAATTCAATTATTAAAGATAAATAACAAAATTATTCCCAAAAATTCAATTATTTCGAGGCATTTTAATAAAATTCTTTGCAAAATTCAATTGTTCTCTTAAATAACAATATTCATCACAAAATTTTCAATTAATTTTAAAAGTAATAAAATTCTTTTTGGATATTCAATTATTTTCAAAAATTCTAATAAAATCATTCGCTACTTTTTCACAACTTTTTTTTCGTTCGAAAGCTACTTTTTGCTAATTTTTAAAAATTAATTTTTGATTGCAAAGTCTGTTAAAAATCTAAAGTCTGATTTTTAAAATTCAAAATGGCCAATCCAATATGGCGGACGAATTTTTATAAGGGAACTGATTATAAACGATTGAAACAATTGAATAACAATTTACTCAAGGGTTTTTAGGGTCGCCGTTAACATAAATTTAAAGTCAAATTTCAGGGTTTTTTCCACCTTCAAAACTCAATTCACGATTAATTGTTCCCTAAAATTATATAAAAAATAATTCAATTTTTAAAGAATTTTATTGAAATTTTTAAAAATAATTTAGAGAATTTAGCCACAGTAACTAATTTTAGTTTTAAGGTTAAAAAAGTAGACACCCTAAAAATTTTTAATCCATTTTTTCTTATAAAAACTATTTTTTTTGTAATTAAAGTTCTCTTGAATTTTTTTTTTATAGAGATCAGAGAAAAAAATTAAAATTCGGTCTGGAAATCAGGGGAAAGGAAGTTAAATTATTGTAGCAACCCTGAATTTGTAAAATTTAAAATGGCTGATCCAATATGGAGCACTATTTTTAATTCAATTGATTTGCTAATGAAACTAGTTTCTCAGTAATTTTCGGGGTCGACTTTAGATTCGTAATCAACGATTTAAAAAACTAGTGTGAATAAAAAAACTAAAAGTAAAAGAAGTGTGATTAGTTTTAATCGAATTGAAACAATTTTTTAAAAAATGTCCTCCATATTGGATCGGCCATTTAAAATTTTTAAAGTCTGACTTCAGTGTCGCAAAGGTTTACATTTTTTTACTTTTTTAAATAACTACTTTCAAAATTTTTCATTTTTCAAGAATTTCTACCTATTTATTTATTTAGTAATTACCGATTTTGACACTATAAAAAAATTGACTTCTGCTTTGGAGTAAATCTTTTAAATAGACATCTTCTTAAATAATTTCGCAACTTATGAAAAATCTTGCGCTGACGTAAAAGAATTGCAACTTGTTTTATAATAGGTGAAATATTTATGCAAATTGTGGTAATTTTTTTTTCTTTTATTCTATATTATAATTGAGTTTATTTTCTCCTTGTGAAGAGACGAAAGGTGAAAGAACATCGTGATGAGAAATAATTAAATGTTGATTCTCCGGTAGGTCTAGGTCGACCTGTCTATCGCACAGAGCAAGCTTTCTGAATAGAACCACACAGAGTATCCTTGGCATGGATTAAATTCTGATAAAAAATTTTATATCGTCTCACCGCTTTCATACACGTCACTCAACGAGACGCTCAATTTTCAATGTATTCCATTGCATACTATACACAAAATAGAGTTTTGATAAAAAAAAAAAAACGAGTGAAAGTTCTGAAAAAGTTATTCTTTTAATTCTTAAGAAATAAAAACTTAATAAAAAATGAATAAAAACGAATAAAAAATGAGTAAAAAATAAATACAAAATAAATACAAAATTATAATTAAAAAATAAAAAAAAGGATTTGTGCACAGAAAATTAATAATATTTATACAATTTGTTTCCCTCTTATAAAAATTTTGTTCATTATTGAAATGCATAGTAAATATTTAATCGTTATTTTATCTGCAAAAAATAATTCTCTTTCTGAGTCTCCAAAGAATATTGAAAATAATTAATTTTCAACACAAAATTAAAAGAATATTGAGTTGATATTTAATTATCAAAGTAATTTATAATTAAAAAGTGGATTTTTTAATTTGGTTTCTCTTAATTTATTCTTTATTTAATTCGAATATTTTTTAATTTCATTCAATGATTATAAAATAAAATTGATCAGAAAATAATTTAACCCTTTTTAAATGTTTATTTTTTTAAAACTTGATAGATTTTAAAATTCATGCGTAATTTTGTAAAGAAAAATACGTTTTTGAATGCACAAAAAAATTGCCAAATGAAAAAATTGATATTACAATTTTGGAAGCATTTTTTTGAAAATAAATCTTTGTTTTTATGCTGACAATGAAAAAACACTATTATTATTCAACTTTTTCATTTAGAAACTAGCAAAAAAAAGGCTAACTTTTTAGGATAAAATTAGCAATTTTAAAATTTTGTAATTCAAATTTTTGTTATGAAAACACTAAAAAAATACAATTTTGGAAAAATTACAAATAATTGCAAAAATTAAATAATTTTCAAGAGTGATAAAATTCTCATCATAAAATTCAATTATCTTTCTTAAAAAAAAATTCATGTCAAAATCC